TGCATTTGTGTCTTATTATTTCTAATACTGTTGATGAAAATCATGGTTACTCAATAAAGGTAAAACTTAACAATGGTTTGAACCACTGAATGTTGACGCTGGGTTTCTCTGCCAGGAAGAGTCCAGATGTATTTGAGATGCTAAGGATGAAGAGAATATGAAATGTGTGATAGAAGGAGCCCGTCCTGACCAATAATAGCTTTGAGATCAGTCACAGAAGGAAGGACTTCAGTAACTATTTTCCTGTGTTTTCCTATGTAGATAGGCTTTTACTGATAAATTTGTACAAAAATAATTTTTATGAGCTGATACATGAAGCTCCTTTCCCCTTTCTTCTTGAACAACTTGTGTGAGGAGTTCTATCAGCCATCAGGCTTCGAGCTCATCCTGAAAACAGTTCATCGGGATGCGATGGTGGCTGAGACAGAGAGTATCCAGAGATGGAACCTGTGACGCTAGGGTCCTCGTGTGTCGCCTTGTGAGGAGAGATTAATCGTGCCTTCATTAGCTTGAGACACAGTTTCAGTAGGTTGGTCAAAAGCGTATTATTGGTGTTTGGAAATTTAAATATATGAGTGAAGAACTAAGCTAGAGATTGTCTCTGGATAGGCAGTGTGATTCCTGTGCTCTCAAACACACAATCCTGTAATACGGGCCTTCCAGTTTGGAGGAACCTGACTTATTGACCAGGAGGGAGTTGGTCTAAATGTTAGCAATCAAAGGCATTTGTGTGAATTTGGAAATGGAAGGTACAGAAGCTGGGCATTTGCAGTTGGTAGATGTGGTTTTGCCAGTGGCTTTTGTGTGTCCTCATGCAGTGCTGTAGGCAGCAGAGAGAATTAGTGGAGTCAATTTCTACTTTCTGAATTTTTAGCTTTCATGATCTTGTAAGAATATAACATTCTGTATTTTCCCCTTCTGACTTGAAATATCTACCTCCATATCTAATTTTTTGATAAAAATCTGGTAACTAAACTTCAGATTTACTCACATATTTGGGTATTACAGACTTTCTATCTTGTGTGATATGAATGTTGGAAATATATTCTCATCAAATATTTGAAAGTATAGGCCTAAATAAGTATTTCTCTTTAGCACTATGTTAAGATACCCTGTAGCTGGAGTATACACAAATACATGTATGCTGTGAGACATAGTTCAGGTGGGTCAGCTATTATCAAAACAGAATAAATTTAATTGGAATGCTCAAATGTCCAGCCAAATCATATTTATTATGCTAGTGTCCCCAAATGTCATACGGCTGATTTTTTTTTTACCAGTTTAACTAACTGGGATGCTGCCAACATAAACGAAAACAGAAGAACTGGTTTAGGTATGTGAAAAATCATCACAGGTGCCACCGTATGTCTAGTATTTTTAAAAACACTATTATTATAAATTTCTTACTGTCTTACTTGAATTACATTTTCTTCTGCATTGCAAAAGAGTAAAGAAATGAGAATGAAGCCATTTTCAGGAGGGAGACTATATTTATTTTTTCTTTCAGTTAGAAAAACTATCTCTACTCAGTGTCCTTTAGTCAAATTGCTTAGAAAAACTTTCTGATGGTATGTCAGAGCACTATGGAGACTGAGAGGAACACAAAAACCTTTCCAAGAGAGAAACTAAATACAGTGGTCTCTTGATACCTTTAGATTGGTTCTAGGACGCCTGTGGATACCAAAATTTAAGTCCTAAATAAAGCGGTATCATTTTTGCCTATAATCTATGCATGTATTCTCCCAGGTGCTCTAAATCTTCTGTAACATCTAATACAGTATCAAGGCTGTGAAATAGTTGTGTTGTTTAGGAGATAATGACAAGAAAGTAGTTTATTTATACTCAATATAGACACAATATTTTTCTAAATATTTCTGATTTATTATCAGTTGAATCCACAGATACCTCAGATAACTCAAAATGCCAACTATCTCTCAAGGTCAGGAACATGGAAAATTGAGGAAAAAAAGTAATGTTTCAAGAATGTATGAGTCAAGAAAGTTACCAAATAATTTGTAATCAATCCTGTCTATTTCTAGACAAAACGTTCTGATCAGATGTTTATTTTAGAAGGAAGAAAAGAAATAATGATGATTCTGAAAAGACAGAGAATGAAGTCCAAGCTCTTTGGAATAGGGCACAGCTCCCTCCTTGGGGTGTGGCGCCCACTCCCCTTGGCATGGTGCACATAGCCTGCTTGCAGAGTGACCCGCTGATGGGGCTCCTGAAGCCCTGGGGCCTCTGCTTAGACTTGGGACGGATGGAGTCAGTAAGTGTGGGAGTCTTTGTCCTCCTATGTGTCAATGATGCTAGGCAAATATTGACATTAGATACCAATAAAATCTTGCTAAATAAAATCTATGAATCAATCACTTAAGTTTAGCACTGGCAGAAATAGTAGCGGTTCTGTTGTCCAGGATGCATGTTTTCCAAAACAAAACAAAACAAAACAAAACAAGTTCACTTTCAGCCACAGGCTGCTGGTTCAGGAACATGGGCATTTCTGCTTTCATTCAGGATTCTTTCTACCATTTCATTCCTGACTAATTTGGAAATTTGCTTGGAGGAATTGTGGTTCCTTCTCTAAATATTTTCTCTGTAATACTTCTAAAGTCACTGGGGACATCATTCACACCTTAAAGTAATTGAGGAAAAGTGCTTTAACCTCGAGGAGCTACCGAGGCTCTCTAGCTTTGCAGCTGGCTCCTTGCCTGCCTGGTTCGCTTTTCATAAAACCGCAGCACCACTGTGGCATTACCTACAACATACTCTAAAATCTATACTGGTGTGGACTCTGTATTCTGCATTTAATTTTTTATTATTGAATCGTGGGAGTTTTAAATTGCAGATATAAGTTCTAATCAGGGTAATAGATGATAAATCCATGGAAACATGATAATAGGTAGGTAACGGATAGACGATGATGATAGATAGATAGATAGGTAGATAGATAGATAGATAGATAAGAATTCCTCTCAAAATAAGTTTTACCCTTTCATCATCTTTCTCAGTATTTATTTTTTTGAGATTGGTTTCCGATGTAGTTCAGGCAGGCCTTGAACTCACTATGTAGCCCAGACTGGCCTTGAACCCATGGCAATCCTTCTGCCTCGGGATTACAGATGTGTGCCACCATGTCTAGCTTCCAGTATTTCTTAAAAATAAGTATTATATTTGGGTGAAGCCATATTTATCTATTTTGTATGGTTCATTCTTTTTGTACCCCTCTCTGTCTACCCCAAAGTTATGCAAATATATTTTTTAAAGTGTTTTGCTTGTTGGATTTTGTTTTTTTCAGACAGGGCCTTACCACACAATTCAGACCGCCTTGAACTCATTATTTACCCCAAATTGGCCTTGAGCTTGTGGTGATCCTCCTGCCTCGGCCTCCCAAGTGCTGGGATTACAGAACTGCACCATCATGCAAATATTATCTGGTGTTTTTTACTAGAACTTTCATAGTTTTATTCTATAATGTTTAGCTATTCGTCTTAAAATTACTATTAATATTTTGAATGGTGTGATTCAAGAGTTAATCTTAATTACTTTTCCATATATTCCTCCATTTGTTGCAACATTATTTGTTGAAGAAAACACTTTCCCATTTAGTGTATTTGGCATTTTCCTTGCAAACCATTTCAGCATGTGTGTGTGCACCCATTTCTGGACCATCAACTCTGACCCGTTCGTCTGTTTGTCATCGTGCCAGACGCTCTATCTTGATGATTACAGGTCTTTAAATCAGAGGCACAACTCCTGCAATAGTGCTCTTCCCTCTCAGGACAGTTTTTGTTATCTTAGTCCTTTTTATTTCCATGGAAATTTCAGATTGGTTTGTGAATGTATGTCCTGTAATTCACTGAGTCTCTATCAGGCAATTTAGAGAGAACAGACATCTAAACATTACTTTCTAATCCATACATATGTGTATTTCTTTCCATTCACTTAAATCTCCTTATTTCTCTCAGCAATGTTTTGTGGCTTCCAGTGGAGAGGTTGTCTTGTTAAATCTATTCCTAGGTATTCTATTTTGATGTTTAGATTATTTAGTGGAGAACTCAAAACCTAGTAGTTTTTTTTTTCAAGATTCCCAAGTCTCAGTTATATTCCAGCAAAATTATAGCAAAAGTTTATTTGGGGGGTAGTGTTTAAATCATGGGGTACAATTCTACTGTGACTTAAGTCTCACAGAGTGACAGTTATTGATCCATGTTACCCCATCCAAAACAAATTTGGTTTCATTGATAGAAATGAATCATAGATACATAAATGAATCTGTATTAATATTAAAATCCTTCTCACTCTTTAGTTAAATTTAGCTTTCCAAATTAACCCTCTGTTTTGGAACTGCTGGGTAGTTTTGCTGATTAATGTACAGTGCTTAATTCCTAACAGACGATGTACACGTGTCAAGAAGGTCGATTATAGTGACAGCAGAAACTGCAGTTTTGTACTGGAGGTTTCAGTTGGGAGAGGAAGTGCCTGTGAAATCTGCAAAGGAATTTAGGGGCGTCTGATGGGACCAGGAGCAGCACAGGCTTAAGCACTATGAGCTGGAATGCGAGGGACGTTTCAGCACAGTGCGTGAGCTCAAGTTACTTATTATTTCTCTTATCGACTTAAATCAGTAACACATTCCCAGGTCACTCATAGGGTCAGTGGTGCCACTTTTGCTTCACTGCTGTAGTCCTCTGGAACGCCCACCATGTCACAGCAGTAGCCTTGTGGCTCCTTCTTCAGGGAGTATCATTTGCAGCCTATCTCCAGGGAGCCAGTTATGCACTTGAGGAGTTTGGGGCACAGCTGCTGCCACAATCAGAAGTCTGTTGTGAGGAAGTCTCAGGCTGGACCCTCCTTGGATGCCTGGGAGAATTTGCTCGTCAGTTTGGTTGAGATACAAGGTCTGTACTGCACACCTCTGCAGGTCTTGCTATAGCATAAGCGTATGCATTGAAAAACAAGACAATGCTTGAAGATAATAATAATTCTTATTTTGCTAGGGCTGTTGATTGCCTCCGTTAACCCAAGATGATGGAAATCTTTCCACTGAGGAAACCCAAAGGGTATAATCAAGTTAAAGAAACATCTCGCTACATAAAAAGGTACCTGCAAACTATCTTGACATTTATTTGGCCATCCTGATAGAACTTTGCTTAGTAAATCTATTATTCAAAGATCTGCTATGAAAATGGGTTAGTTTTTTTTTTTAATGAAAGTGAGGTTCTGAAAAAAAAGTTGGAATCAGTGAATCAGTTACTTGAAACACACACAAAAACTAACAATATTAGAAGACACAAATCGAGAATATCTTTCATGGATGGAAGGGACTGAGTTAGGATCTATTTGAAAGAGAGCTTTGAGTTCAGTGGCTTGTAGTAGAGATAACGATAGAGCAGAAAGGACAGATGTGGAACAAAGTAACTTGTAGGTACTGCCAAAGAAACAAAAAAATTGATTTTGGTGAAGAGGGAACGTCAAATGAGAATTTAACCTTTTTAGGAAAACAAGTATAGGAAGACTGTTGCTCATTTTTTACTGTTTATGAACCATTTTAGACTGAGCATTTTTCACTTTCAAAAGGTAGTTGTTTTAGGGAGAAAAGCACTTTAAAATTCGAAGCAGATTTCTCTGGTATTATGTTCTATCATTGTTAAAAATAAAACAAACTTAGTAACTGTATTTGAATGGCACCAAAACATTTTATGGTAATTTTATTTACTTAACATATGTTTAAAGAAAATGTGTCCAAACAATTTGACATCAGTATTTCAAATTATGTCTGGTGTAACGTGTCTGTGTGTTATATTTCTCATCTGGAATTTTGCTTTAAGGTTCTCCTTCTTCCTGCCTTTTGTTCTGAAAAAGGTCATTGCAGATAAACCCAGTAAATTGCATCTTAATTTTAGAAGTTTTTTTTTAAGGAGAAAAAAAAAAACAGAAAAAGGGTACATACAGAATTTCAGAAAAAATAAACAGTAGGAAATCACTAGTTAATAGATTATATATTGTTATCTTAGAAATAGTTGTTCAAGTTACAAAATTAAAGCATATAAAGTGGACTTTCAAACAGTGACACTGGAAAGAGTTTTGTTCAATGATCCAACAAAACTCAGTAATATGGTTATCTATCTTATACACTTAAATATATATGCAGTTATATTCTTTAGAGCACTTTCTTTTCCTTTCTTTTGTACAATGACAATTACACATTTTGGGTTTTATTACTCCACAGTTCTTATTACTTTTTTTGGAAGGAAGTAAAATCAAATGTGACATAACATAACAGAGTCAGTCAAATCAAAAAGATGGACATAATACATAATGTAAAAACAAAATACTAGGTGATCAACAATGGTTACCATACTGCCTTTTGCTATCTTAAAAAGAATTACCTATATCATCAGTTATAATAAAATTGAGCAAAACAGAAAGAATAAAACCAAAACATTGGAGACATTACAGGACTTTAAAAGAAGACAATAGTCAACCAGAATGGGCGTCATAACGAATCTTATTGTCTTCACAGTTTTGCCCTATACTTTTGAACTTGGTACTATCAAGCAAAGCAGAATAGAGGAAAATCAGTCAAAGCAACATGGTGAGGCCTATCCAGGGTTTCAAATCAAGTTAATAGGAAATCAAAGTAGGTTACTATAATGTATCCTGCTATTTTTTTTATTTTTCCCTTAATTAAAAAGATAACAAAAAGTAAATAATTTTTAAAAAGGAGATTTAGATAAAAGAGGGCATAACAACAAAACAGCGCAGGTCAAAGCATAACCATTTAAGCAAAATAGTGTTTCACCACAAGATATCCTGACATAAAAGTAGTTACCATATTGTCTCTTTCCTTGAAATCTTTGAGTACAAACTTCGTATACTGTAGCATCAAATATAACAAAACAATGTAAAACCATTTAAGAGAATGACAGTATTACAGGGTATTTAGGATCAACCAACAGAAAATGAACAATGGTTTCTGTATAATCTCCTCGTCTATAAAAGTTTTTGCTTATATTATCACATATAATAAAATCCAATAAGATACAACCTGTTAAGACTGATGGAGACAGAAGAATAAAAGCTTGATGGGACTTCAAAGCAAGATGATACTAAATCAGCACTAGCTATTATGATGTCTTGTTTTCTCCAAAATAGCTGTTCCTACCATCCAATCTTCTCTGCCTCATTTCTGTTGAGCTCTTTTTCTGTCGTTTGTTGTCAGTTTGTCTTCTTCATTTCGCTTTCTGGTCCATTCACTGTGGCCTCTCTGCCACTGTTTCTGAAGTCTTGGTATTTTCCTTTTTTAGAATGTCCTGCAGTATTCTCTGTAGAGTTGGATTGGTGGTTGCAAATTCCCCTAGTTCCTCTTCATCCTGGAAGCACCTTGTTTTTCCATCAATTTCTAGGGACAGTTGTGCAGGATATATCAATCTTGGCTGGAAGTTGTTACCTTTCAAAGCTTGAATTATTTTCCCCCATGCTCTTCATGATTTGATGGTTTGTGCCGAGAAGTCTGCTATAATTCTGATGTGTGTTCCCTTGTAGGTGATCTGTCTCTTGTCTCTGACGGCTTTTAGTATTCTGTTCTTATATTGGATTTCTAGAATTTTGATTAATATATGCCTGGGTGTAGCTCTGTTTGGGTTGTAGGTGGCTGGAGTCCTATATGCCTCATACATCTGAGTATCTTTACCTTTTGCTAAATTAGGGAAATTCTCTTGGGTTATTTCCATGAATAGCTTTTGTAGTCCATTTGTTTGTGTCCCTACTTCTTCTTTTATGTTCTTAATTCTTAAGTTACAGGTCCTCTTATCGTCTTCTAGCCTTTGTATTATTGCTGTTTGTTTTCCTGTTATTTTTAAGTTTTTCATTTCATGCTCCCAAATTACAAATCTGCTCTCCAATTCAGATAATCTATCCTTAGTTTCTTTCAAGCTGTTATGCCAGCTTTCGATAGAGTTTTTAGTTTCCTGGTAATCTCTTTGAACCTGCTTCACGTATTCTATGTTTTCTCTATTTTCTCCATCAAACAATTTTCCCCTTTTTTTCTGTTCTTCCATTCCATCATCTGTTTTTTCTTGGGCGGTGCTTAGCATTTCTTTAACTATTTTACTTATATCTTGATTTATTTCATTAAATACTTCATTTTTAAACTCATCTATGAGGCTCTGGAGATACCGCTTTATGTCTATTGGTGCCATGTCTGATATTGCACGTTTTCTCTCTTCCTTTGCATTTACCTTTCCTGGATCAGTGTTCTCAGGATTGGGGACTGAGGACCCTTTCTTATTGCTTCCTCTTCCCATACTTTTTGTTCCTTCCATACAAGCGAATGTAGGAGGCCCAATTTTTTTCTCTTTTTCGGTTACGGTTTGTTTGAATGTGGCTAGGTGTTCCCGCCCACTGCAGTGTACTAGGGAGACACAGACCTGGGCAGCCTCTGCTGGGCCCGCCTCTCCAGGTCAACCTACTGAAAGCTTCACCACTAGGGTGCACCTCCAGGCGCTGGGACCTGGTTTGGTCTAGCCTACTGGGTCTTAGTGGCATCACGCAGGCCACTAATCAAAGCATAATCATTTAAGCAAAATAGTGTTTAACCACAAGATATCCTGACATAAAAGTAGTTACCATATTGTCTCTTTCCTTGAAATCTTTGAGTACAACTTTGTATACTGTAGCATCAAATATAACAAAACAATGTAAAACCATTTAAGAGAATGACATCAAGAATATGAAAAATGGTAGATGTTGCAAGGGTGGAGGGAAATAGGGACCCTTCTACCCTATTGCTGCTGGGAATGTAAATCAGTATGGCCCTCTGGAAATCAGTACAGATGTTTCTGAAACCTCTAACAATAAAGCCACCACTGACCCAGCTACAGCACATCTTGGTATATATCAAAAGAAATAAAAGTCACCATACTATAGGAACACTTCACACCCATGTTTATTGTGGCACAATTCACAATAACCAAGGTATTTGACTAGATGAGGTGCCCACCCACAGATGAATGGATGAAGAAAATGTCACACATATACACATTGTAGTTACTCAGCCATAAAAAAGAATGAAATTTTGTCTTTCATCGCAAAATAGATGGATGTGTAGATTATCATGTTCAGAAAAAAAGCCAGACTTAGAAAGACAAATATCACATATTCTTCCTAATGTGTGTAATGTATAAAAGATGACTAGAAAATCGGAAGAGAAGCAAAGCTTGTTTTGTTACAAGCAATTGAGTTAGATAAAAACGTTATAGGCAGTCAGATGAGGCTGGGCCCTCGAAGGAGCCAGTGCAGAAGCTGAGATACCTTGCAACTATGGGGGAAGACCTCAGGACAAAAAGATAAAACAAATACACCACATATTTTCTATGGAAAATGTAAGGAATTGACATTCTAAATAGGTCTCTGTGACCCTGAGAAGCCAGGAGTCATCATCCTGGCACCCTACAGGAAGATTCAGTGCTCTTTATGCATAATTACTTATTATATGACACACTTCCCAGTTTGATCCTGGTTCAATCAATTTTACCTGAGTAATTACACTTGTAATCTTATTGGTTGACCATAGTTCTGTCCCATCTCACACCCACCTTGTGAGTTTCCATGTTTTTTGCACCTTAGACTTGCCTCAAGTTGGAGATTTGCTCTATAAAATCCCTAGAAAAGACAGAATCCTTGATAACCCACATGGGACCCCTTCTGTCTCTCTCTCTCAGACAGAAGTTTTCTTTCTCTCAATAAATATACTCTGCCCTTAACTTCCCTTGTTCTTAAAATTCATTCTTTGATTTCAGAGAACACGACCTCGTACCAGACATCTAGTAGATTGGGAATTTCTTTCCCCTCTATCAATTTCACCTCTTATAGAAAGGAGATGTCTGAGAAGAACATGTGTTCCTGAGAATTTTGAAGCATGTTACTTTAATTAGGAAGTTAGAAACATGAAGGATAGAGCAGAATACTCCGAAATAATTCTGCAACGAAATTTGAGCAATTAGAAGTGGGAAAACATGCCCAACTGTAAGACAGTAAATTTAATGTCGTATAAACAAAGAAGAGTCAAAATGTTTAGTTAGCAGAACATCGCCACAAT